GGACCCCCGCCGCCCTCCCGGGACTGGGGGGCGGGAGCGGGGGCCGCTGGCGGCGGCTGCTGCTGCTTCCGTCTGTCAAAACCCCAACGCACTCGCTTGGGAAGTTTGTAAAACGCGTAAAACTCGATTATTGCGGTGCTGAAGACTCGGTGTTTTTAATAGCGCTCTTCCCGTCCGGGGAGACCAACTGCTGTTGGTCACTGGCGTTTTTCCTTCTGTCAGGAAAACAACAGCACCTTGGCTCTGTCAGGGCGGCCGCTGCTGCTGCCGCCTGTGCTGAAGTGTTCTCACACCTGAAGCGTTCCGCTTGAAAACTTGAAAGGAGCCAAGCGTAGCATTTGCGTAGCGTATGCGAGAGTTTGCCTGACTTTCCTATGCGTGATCGATAAGCAGTAAGATTACAAAGTACATTTAGAAACATAGTTTACGTGGGAGAAGTTTCATTGACCCAAGACACTTCAACGGTGTAAACGTTTCTGAAGAAAAAAAATGTACAAATCATGCTGTGGAATAGCTATACCGGCTTTAAAATTGGCGTGTATGCCTAAAACTGTATACGATCTATATAAACAATGTTTATAAATTATGTTCAGGCATATATAACCTAGGTCTTTGGACATATATATGTGTCCAGGACATATATATATGTCCAGGATATAACCTGCATCTTTTGGACAGAGGTTATTTTGTTTAGAATACTTCAAAACCAAAAGAAGCGGAGAACCCTGAAATGTTCTTGCTTCTGAAAAAGTACAGGGGTCTCAGAAGGTGCTAATGAATTTTAGAAAAGTAACTTACTGCTCACAAAGTTTGTAACTTCTATTTTAAATTTTTTTGCAGCCCTTACAGTCTTCAGCAATATCTTTTACACACATCTTTTACATTGTATAGTTATTTTCTCATGGTAAGAATAGACTGGCCATACCTTTTGGTCTCATCAATAGTCGTTTGGGGTTTTTTTGCTTTAAAGTCATGGTTCTGAGATGATGTCTGGGGTTTTATGGTGCAGTACATATTTCTTAAAGCCTTTACGTGATATCTGTGGTGCTCCAAAGTGTCTATGCAAAGAGATTGCAGAATTAAAGATCTCTGTAGATAAAGATGTCTTTGTGTAACATGGTACGTGCAATGGTACGTGAGAGCATTTCTGTTAGGTTTTTGATCTGTCAGTCTAGTATTTTTCAGTGAAAAATTTGCTTGCTTGTAAAATAAATTCTTTGTATTCTTTGCTGTGTGGAAGTCCATTCCTGCATAACAGTTTACACAATTTTATTGAGAGGTTTGTGAAAAATATTTTCAATGTCCTGTGGGAACAACTAGAAGAGAATCTGATGATGATTTCTTTCTCTCTTGTCTTTTGGTTCAAAAACAGGGATGTTGTGGAAACACAAGAGCATTATAAGAGCAGGTGGCGATCCATCTGGATTATGTATCTTACTATGTTTCTCAGTAGTGTAGGTGAGTAAACACAGGTGGATTTCAATGTTATTTGCTTACTGAATATATTTTGGTTTGAAAATTACAGGGTGTTCTAGATTTCAACTACATCGTTCTTTTAATGCTTCTGTTCTTTTATAAGCTTAAAAAGGTGCATTTTCTGCTTCTTCAAAATAGAAGGTATGACTAGCAAATCAAACAGGAAGTTACATTTAACAAGATAAGTTAAATAATACTCTGTTTTGAGGCTAAATAACATATACTTCACCCTTTATTTTATGGCTTTGTAATAGGTTGGGGTAAAAGGTAGTGGCAAAGTAAGGTTATTGTTCAGAACCAAACAAAACAAAGGTCACACTTTTATCATCCCAAGTGAAACTTCTAGGGTATGAAAACAGAAATAATGTTGAGTTCTTAAAGAGGCAAGATCTTTGTGGGAACGTGTGTTAACCTGTTTCAAAATGTGTATGAGAGTTTGTTTTCTCTTATGGGATTTTGCATCTCCGCTGCACAACAAATTACTGTTTCATTCCTAAGTAACTGTCCCTGGAAACAAGACTTCTGGTGATTTTTGTGCGCCTAAAAATGACCTTGAAAATAGTAGGATGCTTCAGTGATTTTTAATTTTTTTTTTTTAATTTGAAGAATTCAAATGTCTTTGATAAATGAATACAAATATGTCAGTATATGAAGAAATTCTTTTTACTCTGGGGATCTTGTCTTTCCACTGGGAGGAAAAATCCATGCAGTTTGCTCGGCACACCAGTATTCTCTTCATGGGAGTTTTTTTGTTTAGTGTGTACACACCTATAAAATGTCCTTTTAAAATAGTTCCTCCTGTTAGGAGGAATTATCACTCCTTAAAAAAAGCACATAATACATAGGTTTTTTTCAGGTGACAGACTGATGCACCATTTTAGACTATAGTACACTTAGGAGCAGAAGAATTAACCTGTAGTAACTGTTTCAGTAAAGCAAGTTACTGATAAACACGGCAAATAAAGTAACTTCAGTTATGTTTTTACTGCATTGCAGGTTTCTCAATTGTAATTATGTCTGTGTGGCCATATCTCCAAAAGGTTTGTAAATATGTTTGTTTGGTTTTTTTTTAATTAATAAGAACAGAAGACTTCTGCTCAGGAAGTATGTAATACAAAACTTGGCATTTCATTTAGGAAAAGAAGCAGTAAAGGGAAGTGTGTGGTTATAAGAGACTTTTATTTTGCCATCCACTCAGACAGCTTTAATTATTTCATGTAAAATCTGTCAGCTGATTTCCTGAATTGATAAAGGTACATCATAATCCAGAAATGTTTGGGTTTCCAGTATAATTTCACTGTTTTCTTGGACAGTGAATCAATAGAAATCTCTTTATCTGAATGCATTTGTAGTGTTAAAACATAATATACAAGGCTTGACTGCATTTTGGAAAAAAAAAAAAAAAGGAAGCTGAAGGTAGAAATTGCTCTGTATATGTCAGATTGTTGCACATAGACCTTCTTGATAATCTTAGCAGGGAATTGCCCATGTTTCTTGGTAGTGTTTTTTTACCCTCTGTTTCATTCTTATTAAAAGTGGCATAAAAGGTCTCTGAGACTTTAATTTCATCTGTGCTAGGATTTTACTGCTCTTAGAATTGTAGAAGGCAGTTTCAAATGCAAATTTGGAAGAACATACCCTGGGCAGGGTCCTAGAGGTATCATTAAAATTGGGGCTGGTGCTGAATTCTTGGAAAAGGAAATGCATCGTCAGTCAGCCTTGTAACTCAGGATGGATTCAAGCATGTGCAGAGATGACTCAAGTCACTCCTTGCTCCTGGCATGTAAACTGTCAGTTCCTAAGTTATGTCCATAGCCTATAATATCATCAGTGCTGCATGAAAACTATCTGAGTTTGCTGCAGTCTCGGAAGCAAAGCACTTTTTACTGGTTTGGTGCATTGCTGGAGACAGTTAGCCAAGGTTTATTGCCCCAGACAAAGTACTACATGAAAATAACTGCTTCTGAGATCCAGAATTGTGTATTTATATTAAAAACTGCACAATGCCATGCAGACACACTAATTTGTTTAGCGATAGCTTAGGTTTGACACTGCATTGCCTGGTGCTATATACCCTCAGCATTACAGTGCAGAGTCTTAGGCATTTCAGGTACTGATTCTAGAATGGTTTTGTTGATATTAGAAAATACTATACTACTTTACCCATAGAATTGATTCATTTGTTTCTGCAGATTGATCCAACCGCAGATGCGAGTTTCTTGGGCTGGATTATAGCTTCATATAGTATTGGCCAAATGGTTGCCTCTCCCCTGTTCGGCTTGTGGTCCAATTACAGGCCAAGGAGAGAACCTCTTGTGGTTTCAACTGCTATTTCAGTAGCTGCTAACTGTCTTTATGCCTACGTCCATGTACCTCACTCACACAACAAATACTACATGCTGACGGCGCGTGCCCTTGTGGGATTTGGAGCAGGTAACCACAGCAGAATTTATGTTTCTGAAAATGACTGCATTCTATGTCTTGCGTAAGGTATTTAACATATTTTAGTACCAGATTTACCATTATGTGAGTGATAACTTACTAATGAACAAAGCAAAGAGTCAGCCAGTACTAGTTTATAATAGAATTGTGTGATTGTGCAGTTGTGTATAAATACTGGAAGGAGTGCTGGGGTTTATTTTCTTGCAAAATAAGAAAAAATCCCTCTAAAATAAATATAACTGGATAATTTAAGAATATAACTTAGTATTTACATGAACACTTTCTTGGTTTTGTTTTTTTAAGGAAACGTGGCTGTAGTTCGATCGTATATTGCAGGTGCCACTTCTCTTACGGAAAGAACAAGTGCCATGGCCAATACCAGTGCTTGCCAAGCAGTTGGTTTCATATTAGGACCAGGTAAGGCATATCTGCTTTCCTCACTTCTATAATACTTTTTAGCATGAAATTGGGCATTGGAAGTAGGAATCCTTAGCAGCTGTTATGTTGGGGATTTTAAGGCATAGATTGTCAGTGGTATCAGAACTGAATAAATGAGATCCACTCGTGCATACTTACATATGCCAATATAAATTAAATATTCTAGTCCAAAGAAATGCTAATTTTTTTTGTAGATTCCTGGCTGCAGGAAAGACAAGTTCCAAGATGCTCTCTGGTACCGGTACCCACTAAATAGTCTATGACCAATTGCACTTTATTCATGGACAAAGGAATTCAACATTAATGTACTCGGCCAAACGTTTCCACCTTTCCGAAATGACTGAAAATTTCACCTTGCCTCACATGTTGTAGAAAATAACATCCAACAGATCTTTCTGATCTTGTAGTGACGATCACAAAATCTTCATATTGGCAAAAAGTCTTAAGACATAGCATGGGTATTACAGAGATCTAAGGGAACAAAGGACTCAAGGGGTGTTTGTTAGAACAGGCGTACCAGAGTATCTCAGGAGCCACAATCTGCTTCACGGGAGAAATGCATTAGATTTGCCTTGTGTTGTAAAAAGAGGCCAGCAATTTTGTCCTGAACGGCCTCTACTGATTACTTGTCTTTATCTGGAGATTAAGATTATCCAATTAGTAGAGCTGAAGCGCTGTGTGTATGGTGATATAATGAGGTGAATGTTTAGGGCTAAAAGTTTTTCTCCAGTTGATTATTACTAGTGCTGTTGATAGAGTGTTAAAGGGTCTACAGCAACAAAAAGTCTGCATTCTTTGTGTGATTTGCATAATAGTATAAGTTTAGGTAATTCCCTTTCCTAAATTAATAGGGACTCTCAGTCTGTTTCCTAACAGTAGTAAGTAAGCAAATGACCTGATCTTAAAATCTTTTGCTCAGCACCAATTTAAACTTTAATTAAAAACTCCCCCACAACTTCTTTTCTCTCTAGCTTGCCCTTAGCAGGAGGGATAGTCCAGTTCCAGGACTAAGGTTTTCCACATAGGAGGAAGAGGAAAAAGAGTAAATCAGCTGTCTGCACATGGCCAAGAAAATTAACCATTGGTACGCTCAGAATTCAGTTCCGGTTCTTTAAGTGGCATGCTGTTAATTATACAGTGTATTTGTATGTAACCAAGGAGCTTCTGGCTAGTTGAGATCCCACTGGTATCCACCAGTTTGTTTAGAGTAGGATTCTCAACATGCAAAAGGATTGACAGGTGTAATATTTAAATTTTACCTAGCAATTAGAACAACTTTGCTTATCCAGTTTTATATGTTGATTCTGTATGTGTTCCAATATTTTCTTAATGAGTCTCAAGATTTTCTTAATACATTTATGTGTTTTAAGTTTTTCAGACATGTTTTACACTTATTGGAGAAGAAGGAATAACATGGAAATTAGTTCATCTTCAGCTGAACATGTATACAGCACCAGTTTTATTTGGAGCTATCTTAGGAGTTATTAATATTATTCTCATCTTTGCCATATTCAGGTAATCAAGTCAAAAAAGGGAAATGTTCTACCCTGTGTTAGTGGGTGGCTTGTAACAAATAATATGCTGCTCAAAAGGAATAGTAATAAGCCTGAAATCTGGAGTGCTAAAACTATAAGCTGTTATTTATTTTTCAGGGTTTCTACCTTCTTTAATACATATCTTTTTTGTTATGCTCATAAATTAATCATAGTGATGTTATGGATAGAATGTAAACTGATGAAAAAAACTAGAGCTGTTAGATTATTACCTTAGCCTTGATATATTTTTAATGATGATGGTTTCTGCACATGTTTTTTCTCTAAAGAGAAATAAGGTTAGCTTGTCTGTAGGGTTCTCACTGTCTGTGTCTTTCCTTTAAGAATCTCGAGGGGGGATTCTTTTTATGCATTTTATGCATTATTGGTGGCAGCGAGGAGAGGGGAGAGATGCAAACAGATACGTTATATTCTCCCACTAGGATATTTTTGTTCTTGAGCACAGTGGTGGTCACTGCAGTCAAATGTAGACTACACAGATGATGTTTAAAGGAGCTGGGAATAATTAAAATACAAGATTATGCCATTTAGAATTATTTTAATAGAAACTTGACTCAATAGCAGATCTAATAAATATGTGTATTAATGAAAACAGTTCTAAATTTCTAGAGAGCACCGAGTGGATGACATGGGTCGGCAGTGCAAAAGCATCAATTTTGAAGGAGAAGGTACCTATGTTTTCTTGAAAACTTATTCTGTGATTATAATTTTGAAGTACTCTCTTACTGCTTACAAGCATTTAGAAGTATTCTAGAGTCTGATGCATTGGGAACTTGAAGTGGAAAATAGGCTACGTCTCTTTCTAACTGGTCCAGAAATTGCTTCGCGTTCATGTTGTGTCCATACGTGTCGACAGTGCTGTCTGGTAGCGAAGAAAAATAAAAAGTATTGTATGGATCCTTCCAGATTTTCACTGTGGAACCATCTCTTCCAAGAGACAGGATTCAGTGAACATGGAGATAAAAAAAAAATCTCCCTTAACTTCTAGTCTGCAGTCATACTTCTCTTTTGTTCTGTATCATGCTGTGTAATACTGTTGTTGCATATCAGCTTTCACATACAGCATCTTATTAAAAGGTGCATGTTGTATAAGTAAATTTGGTAGGTGAGACTAAAGTGTAGTAATTGCCACATACAGTGCAACAGCTTATGTTCAATACATACCTTTTTTGTATGCAGTTCATTTTTTTTTAAATGTTGTGAGTATCCCTTTCACTTGAAGAATAACAAGTCTATGAACGGTCATCTTGAATCTCTTCAAAATCGATGCAAATCACCAGTTTCAGTATTTAATACAATAATAGTATTTAATAATATGAATAATAGTATTTAATACAAATTAATACATTTTCTGTTTAAAAAGGGAGCTGTATGTGCACACCACCCGTGGGTTTTTTGCATATGAAAATGCTATGCCCAGATTAGAGGCTCTGTGGTAGTGCAGAGAATTCTACTGCGTAGTTTTGACCTTGCAAGAGGAACAGAAAGTGTTTGGGTTTCCATTGTTAAGATATTTAAAGAAGTTTTCTTATTTCACTTGTCACTCCTAGCATTACAGTGTGAAAACAGATGGTATAACCAATTTGGAAACAATTTACCCTCACTGTCAGTGGAATTGAAGTTTCAACAATTCCATTTTTATTTTAAAACATTACACTTCAGATTGTCAAAATATAACTGCCTAGCCACCCACCAACCTGCATGTTAAATACTTAACATTAAGTGAGGAAATTATTACTATTTGTAATTTGCAGTGGTGTAAAAAAAAAAAAAAGGTCAGTTTGCAGTTTAGATTATTCTTTTGTTTTGTTGCAGAAAATGGTGCTCTCGATCAGGACGCAGAAGGAAACGTTGACCATGTTGCTGTGGTAGCAATCAATATTCTTTTCTTTGTCATCTTGTTCGTGTTTGCTGTCTTTGAAACGTAAGTTTGTCTAATTTCTCTCAAAATACTTAGACATGTAATGTAGTTAGACTGAGAGTCCATGTAAAGGCTTTTCTGCTGCATTCATTTTATTAACCCTACTCTTCGTAAATAGAAGTCCAAAACCATATGCAATCAGACTGATGTATACTGATACAAGGTAATGAATTTCAGGTCATTGAATAACTAAAATAATAACATACATTTTGTGGTATATGAAACATTAATATAAAAGCTTCTGAACGGATGCAAACAGATACCCACAACTTTTCTTAAGTGTTAGAAGAAAAGGCAGCTTAACTTGGGCTGCCTAAAATCTTCAGAGAAAACTGTGTCTTCGGTTGAGTACCTTGTTTCTATACTTTTTATTTTAATTTTGTATGATTTCTTAATATGATTATGATTAGCTCCAGAAGCTCCAATGAAGTTCTTATTTCAGTAATGACGGAAACAATTGTTTGATATAGTTAATGCAATTGTATTCTTTAATATACTGTTTTACATGACTTTTTTTTTACCTAACAAGGTATGTTATTTACTCCCAAATTCTCTGTGTGTAAGACGATAAGTAAAACATAACAACATTACCTCTGACTGAAGTAAACTTCATTTTTTTAAATTCATCAAATACTTTGAGGATACAAGATTTATTTTGTAAGTTTTTTGAGCTTTAACGTAGCCAAAATTTCTTTTAACAATATGTCTCTGTCTTAATTGCATTACTTTTAGAAAATTGAGTTGCTAGAGACTGGTTGGTTGCTAAAACTGAAACAATATTAAATGTTTATTATTTTTATACTCACAGGGCCTGATAAATTTTTTCTCTGTATTACTCTTGTTTTGATTTAACTCCATCTTTTCATGAACTATTGGAAATAATTTAATGATGTTTCAGAGTATGGCTGGTGAAATGCAGTTGCGAATTTTGTCTACTGGATTTAGTTTTAATAAATGATGCATGACAGAATTAGTTTGTAACTAGCCCATGTTTTCTGATATGCCTGTCAGGAGGAAAGTCTTCTATACCATGGTGTTTAATGTTTGGGACAATATATGTATGGAAATGACTGTATAGAAGAAGTTTTCTTTTAACGAATGTAACTTTGTTCTGTCAATTTAGTATAGCTACTCCACTGACGATGGATATGTATTCCTGGACCAGGAAAGAAGCCGTTTTTTATAATGGAGTAATCCTTAGTGTGGTTGGCATTGAATCAGTTATTGTTTTCATGGTGGTTAAAACGCTGTCTAAAAAGTAAGTTTTTTGGAGTTTTTTTTGAATTTTGTTACTTATGTTAGCATGAAAAGCTTTCTGGCAAGGCCAAATCTGCGTTACTTAAATCTTTTACTTGTTAATGAATTTGGGTTTACTATGACAGTGAAGTACTTCCAATCTGGATGCAGCCACGACGCTGTGGTGGTTCTTTATTCCATTAACATAACCCCCTTCCTTGCCTGTCTTTTACCCTTGAATCACAAGAAAAGCAGGTTTTAAGTTACTGTGGTTTTTGCCATTTTTCTTGCAGGTGTTTTGGTCAGGCATCTTTTCCAAAGACTAATGGCCTATGTTGTTAGCACCTTCATAAATTTTACTTTAATTAGATGACAATTTAATTGTAACTTCATTGTTTGGTAGGACCGGTGAGCGTGCCATACTCCATGGAGGCTTACTGATTGTCTTGGTTGGATTCTTTATCTTACTGCCTTGGGGGAAAAAACTACCAAATATCCAGTGGCAAGGTATAATTCAAGTCATTCTAAATTACCACCATAATGTTCTTTTGAAAGCTTTTTATTGTATTTTTTTTTCCTTAATGGCATGCATAACTTACTTTTACAGAAATAAAGAATAACTCCATTCCCAGAACAACTTCCACTGAAATGTTAATGCCTTTCTGGAGTTTGCAAGCAATGCAGCTTCCATCCAACCACACGGTGGAACCCGTAGGCTGCCCTGTCACACAGTCCTGGTGCCTGAATACTCCCATGATCTATCTGGCCCAGTATATCAGCTCTGATATACTAATAGGATTGGGCTATCCAGTTTGTAATGTCATGTCCTACACTTTATACTCAAAAATTCTAGGACCGAAGCCTCAGGTAAGCATGATGCCTGAACTGTTTGCTTGCACCCTCTTTTTTAGAATGAGGGATCTAGCCCAAATTCCTTTTGTCATTAGCCAAATAACAGTACATTTCAACTGGGGCAGAATTTTCCAGGAACTCTAATGTCTTTTAAAATCCAAGGCAATCCCTAGGGGAATTAGAAAGCAAGACTTGTATTATTTACGGCAAATCTTACAGCATGAAAATTTCAGAACAACTAAGCCCAAAGCTTGTGACTTTCACAACTGTCCTGGAAGAGTCGTTTTTGTAACAACCAAACAAGTATGGAATAATGTTCCTCTTACTAAATACAAAGCTATGATACCTCCAGTTATTGGCAGTGAAACACATTGCAAGCTGATATTACTGCTTAACAAAAAAATGTTGCTTTTTCACCACTTATCTCATTTTTTTCATGTTAATATTTTGCTGTAAGAGACTAAATGCTTTGAGCCAGAATGGCTTTTTATTAGGAAGCTATAGAGTGTGTAGCTCAGTGGAACCTTTGAATTAATGCTTAATGAAGCTGAGCAGCACTCTTGGAAACAAAGTACTCGGTATCTTAATGGGTTAAGAAAGATAAGCAGTTGCTTAAACACTTCTAAATTTTCTGACTAGGATAATTGATGGGAATTATGGGCAAGCCAGGTAATTCCTGTACCACTAACATGAGCTTTTGATATTCTGTAGGGTGTCTACATGGGATGGTTAACTGCGTCTGGAAGTGGAGCACGAATACTTGGGCCTGTTTTTGTGAGCCAAATATACACTCACCTGGGACCACGCTGGGCATTTAGCTTAATCTGTGCTGTGGTTGTAGTCTCTCTCTTACTTTTGGAGATAGTATACAAGAGACTAATTGCATTTTCTGTCAGATATGGAAGGATGCAAGAAGAGAGTTGTTAAATATGTTTGTTTTGTTTTTTTTTTTTTAAAAAGTAAACCCAACCAGAAATAATACTTTAGTTTATTACTACTTTTTAATGAGGATTACCTAACCACTGACCTTGTTGGCTGTATGCTAAGGGCTGTAGACCTCTACTTACACATAACTTGGTCATATCCTAATACATGGTTACACCTGCTGCAACAGAGCGTTAGTGCTCTGCTTTTCTAGCAGTTGTGAACAAGAGAGATGAATAGAGTGGCACATCTGAAGTGTGTACAGTTCGAATGATGCACCTGTGTCGTGAATGCAGCTGTGAAGGTCACGGGTTACGCACATCCTTTCCAGAAAGAAGTAAATGAAATATTTATCTTGATTCTGTGAATCAGGATTAGTAACTCTTCTGTAACTACAAGGTTAGTTGAGCTGCATTGCATGCACTTTGTATGGAAACGTCACCAGTTAAGCAAACCTTCTGATGTTCAGTTTGTGAACTTGTAAGCACTGGTTAATACAGAATGTCTCACTTCGGAAACTGTTACGCATCGTTACATCTTCTCCAGGGTTTCAAATGAAATGTGAATTTAAGAGGAAGAATTTAAGAGGAAGGTAGGTGCCTACTTCACAAGCAGTTTATGTGGGATTTGGATATTATTTAAGTTGGTGAAGAGCCTCGGAGGCTGTTACTTGAACTACGGTGAACCATATGTGCAATTTTTCTTCTGCTGTTTTGCTGAATGCCTTTTTGTAGCAAGAAAGGTAACCTGCACAGAGTTAAATTATGTACAGCTCTTCTTAACTTTACCACAACATGAAAATACTAAGCACGATCGTTTACTCTTCCATTTTTGTTTGTGAGAATGAATGCACTGTGCTGAGCAACCAGTGTTAATTAAGTAAAAAAGAAGGAAGCTGGCTCCTCAGGTGTTGACTATTATTTGTAGTTATTTTTCCTGATAATGTGGTATGAGAAACAGGAATTTACGATGTTTGAATCATTCAGTGTTTGTTTTAAAAAGTGAAATAATAATTTTCCTTCATAAGGGGGCCTAAGCTCATCTGTATGGGTTTATTTTTGTCTGTTTTAATACTACTGGGGAAAAAAAATCTGTAATAGTTCCAATATGAGAACTGTAGCTGCTGCTTAACGTGTCTATTACTTGATGCTCACTGAATTTATTAAAGTAATTAAGTATTCCTATGTAATTGTTGAAACACTAAAAGACTGCTGAATTAAAAGATTATTTTTTCAGTACTGACTGAAGGGTATGGAGAAGTTTTACTCTCTCGGGCTTTTCTGCTGCAGAATCACAAAACATTAGGAGAAAGGACTGTGCTTTTATAAGCATTTCTTTTATATGCTAATTCATAATAAATAGTACCAGAAATACTGTGTTTTGGTGGTAAAAACAGACTGCAAAACGAAGTGCTTAGAGTTACAGCAAAGGAAAGTTACTTCAGGCATGGGAAACTGGTGTTACCTTAGACATGAGAAACGCAAGAGTTTTCAAAATGGCTGATGTGGTTAGGATTTCATGTTTTACAACTTGGTGCTGAAAGTATATCTGTTGTAGGATGTTTATTACTGTTGTTCTTCAGGCTAGCTAACTTCCAACTTAAGAGTGAGAAAATGTTTGGGTACTTGGAGGGATTACTTCAGCTGTAAATTATGTAAAGGGTCAGGTTTCTTCTGCAGTGAATACCTGTAGAATACAAAATATCCCTAAAAAGGGGTAGCCTATGCACATTAATATATTTACATAATGCTTAAACTAAGAAAGCAAGGTTTGAAATTTTTTGGCCATGAGAGTTGTTTCTATTTTTGTAGGTCAGCTGTGGTTTAAGCTATGGCTTACTTGTTATGGATTATCATCTTCTCATTCTTACAAAACACATATCCACAGGTAGGGCTTCCATTTTTTTCTTTTTATTCCACTTAGCACTGTAATGGAATGCAACTGCATTGAAGCCACACTGTTCCTTACCAGCTAGCTGATTGTTCTTTCTAAGCATTTATGCCTTTCTGCCCTCTGGTGTCTACCTCTTAGGCTTTCTTCAACTGTATGTTTAGCTTGTATATCAAACTAGATGGTATCTGAAGTAAAGATAAGCAGGGTGGCTGAGAATGCAAGTTTTTAACATGCACTGCTGCCCCACATCTTATCAAGGTTGACTTGCTACTTGAAAAGTCAGTTGATTGAGAGTAAAGTATTAAAACAAAATGTTTCTTATAAGGAAGCTATGTACATGTTTATAGATAGAAGTACATTCAAAAATCCTTAGTCTACATCAGACTTCTGAGTATTAAGGTCCACCATGAAAAAGTATGCTTCTCAAAGGCTAGAGCAGTTAAAAGAGTTCCTTTTGGAGATTTTTTTTAAGTGCTATTTGCATACCTATCTTGATGTTCCTAGTGCCCAGTTCTTCATTTGCAAGGTATTTCTGTGATTTGGACATGACAAAGTAAGCAAAATAGTCTGTGGTCTCTACCACATGAATATGGAGAACTGACTTGAAGTCAAGGCTAGTTCAGCTCTGAACTGAGCCTGCAGATTAGAGAAAGCTGTATTAGAACATCTCTTTCCTGCTCTTTTGAAACTCTCCCTTTTCCCCCCCCACCTTTCTGGGCCCCATTCTTTCACTCAAATGAATAGGAGGAGAGAGACTTAAATATGAATATAAGCACCAGCAGGAGTATTAATACACTTGAAGCAAAATGCTTCAAAAAAAAAAAAAGCTGTGGTTGATGCTGCTTCAGTTTCTTATAGTGAGATTCACGATGTGTAAGACAAGGTAATAAGCATCTAAAGTCAATAAACTCCTGCAAAGTAACAAACTGAATCAGTCTCAAGTTAGAAGTAACTTTGTGCAACAGTTTTATACCATTTCACCCCACCCTAAACTCCCAACATATAATTCTAAGATACCAGATCAGGTCCAGTTATAAATTGAGCTTAGTACTTAGAGGAAAGGGCTCTCAATAAACCATCACTTGAACATGAAACAAGTCAACACATCTGAGCAATTACCACTGCATTTATTTTTTTTTTTGTATAAAATGCTTGTGCAGGGAAGTTAAAGCTGCTGCTACAAAAAATAAAAACAAACAGTTTAAAACATATACATATTTACATATATTACTTGTGAGACTGTAAAAATATAAGTTATTTACAAATACAAACACTTCAACAGCACAGATGCATTTTCCTTGATTGTTGGCACTGAGTAAGCAGTGGGAGAAAAAAAATACAACAGATTGAGATTACTTCCAAAAGTTGGTATTGTATAGAACTCATTTGCTCAAACTTTTGCTTGAGCAAGTTTTATCCATCATTTTGAGGAAAAACATGTTGCATATGATACTTTACAAGCAATTGGCTACACATAAACAGAGCAACCCTTCCCTTCCTCAAGTTTTACCAGCTTTTGGATGAATTTCTGCATAAGCTGTGTAAGATCAGTCACTCTACTTGAAAGTCAGTGAGTGAGTTTATTACGTATCCTGACACCTGCTTTTCTTTATAATCAGTGGGGACCAGCTGGATTGGTAAACATCACAAGAATAGAAGACAGACAGTGCAGCTTTTCTTTGATGTATTCTGGCAACTTATCATTTTCTCCATACCTAGAAAGGCAAATAAGCATGGAAAAATTTAGATGCTTGAAATAGAATTATTTCAGGACAGTATAGTCATTTCAAAACTTGCCTGTAAATAGGCAAACCACTAAGTCAAGTAGATTTTAAGTATATCTAGACACATAATTGGAGCTTGATGGCTTAAATCTAGGCCTGCCCTTCCCTATATGTATTTAACTGAAAAGAGTGTTTCAGATTAAGAAAACACCTAAGCTAAGATTTAATATTTACAACACAAGATGAGCAGCAGCTATGAAGTTAACCTTACACATAACAGCCTTGCAGTGGCAGTTAAAAGAACTATTTTTACAGCAATAATAGACTCACCTAGTTGTCTGGCCATCTGGAGATGTGTAAGTGATAGAAGAAACACCTGCTTGGGCTACCAGTTGAGATCCATCATTAAACTGGACCCATACTGCTCCACTAGTCAGCTAAAAAGAGAAGTTGCATTATGGTTTGAGGACATAAAATGTGAGATTACATACCTAAAATATTTCTAATAACTGAAGCTGAAAGTTTTTCAGAACTGCTGAAGTGACTTGGGTATCTTGGTCAGCCTTCCAAAGATGAAGATTGCATGTATGCTACTTTGGAGTAAGTACTCTCAAGAATCAGACTTCCTAAGATTTCAGATACTCGGCTTTAGTCCTTTTCAATGAGAGTGAAATAGAGAGGTACCATTAAGCTTAACCACTCCTGAAGAAATTTTCAATAGGACCAAACATAAAATAGAAGGCCTATTTGTGAGAGGTCACAGCTATATACATTTTAATGTTTTATATACAACACAAACAACTTCTGCTAGGACAGGAAGCTTACTTTATCTGGATTGCAGAGAATCCTTTTTTAAAATCTAAAGCTGGTCCCACAGAAAAGCAGAAAAAAAAATTCTCTGTGAGGAAACAGCTTTTCCTGTTGTATAGGCAGATTCATTTTTCTTGTACAGATCTGTTAAAAAAAACTTTGTCATGCTACCTTTACATTAGTGACCAGACACAAGTTTAACAGCTTCAGTTGTTTACTGGAGTCAAATTTAAATGACAAGACACTGAAATAGGCAATAACAACACTAAAATTGTGATAACTGAAACTATTATTTGGTTTCTTCTACTTACGTAGTTTGCCATGGTATTTATCTGGAAGGCTCTTTCGACATACAAATTTTCAGACTTAAACTGTAGCAGAGCACAACTTAATAAATTCCTCACAAATCAAGTTTGAAGTTAATGACTTAAAAATAAGTATCTCAAGTTTAACAGGAAAAATAAAAAAAACAGCCTTCCCTCCTTTATCAGTATTCATTTCTCACCTGGGAAGCCCAACCAACATTTTTTACAAAGACAGATTTTAAAAGCTGGGCTGAATTTGGACTGCATTCCGTTTGATGAACAG